GTTTCCAGAAGCCGGATGTTAGTTCCGGCTTCACTGGGGTGTGGGCCTTGCAGGTATGCAATGTCTCGACCCCTCACATTATTGTGTCCAATCTGCTGTTAAACCCATTCAGTAAGTTCCTGGCTATTGTATTTTTTTCAGTTGTAACATACATAATTCATCCATTTTTAGAGATTCCAAATGTCTTGAAATCCTCCATATTTTCACCCATTTTGATTTATTGCTGTTATATTAATGGTAATTCAAAGTGTTTTCTGCCAATTCCAGTATCAAAAATCATCAAAGTTTTCTGTATTTGTTTTCTATTGTTGCCAAAACAAACTGCCACAGATTTAGTGGCTTAAAACAACACCCATTTCTTCTTCTGATACAAAGTCCAGATGGGCTTAGCTGAGTTCTGTCTCACAAGGTGGGAATCAAGGTGTAAGCAGAGCTAGGCTCTCATCTGGAGGCTGAATCTGCTTCTAAGATCATTCAGGTTTGGGCTGAATTCTTTTGATTGCAGAACTGAAGCCCCCGTTTTCTACCTTGTTGTCATCCAGGGGCTGCTCTCAGATCCTGGAGGTCACTCACAGTCCCTTGCCATGAGCCTTCTCTATATCAGTAAGAAAGAATCTGCCTTATGTCGAATTCTTTCTATACTTCAAATCTGTGACTCTTTTGCCACCCAACTGGAGAAAACTCTGTTTAAAGGGCTCATGTGAAAAGATTAGGCCCACTCAGGTAATATCCCTTTGACCATTTAAAGTAACATAATCACAGAAGTGATATTTTATCATATTCATAGGTTCCACCAACAAAAGAATTATACAAAGGGTGGAAGGAATTGTACAAGGAAGAAGTTCCTTGAAGGTTATTCTTAAAATTCCACCTACCACAACTGTCATTCACTTTCTGTCTTAACAGCTGCATTTCTCTGCCTTTTCTTACATCTAGTAAAGTTTTATTTTGTGTATTAAAAAACTTTGTGTTAAAAAACTAGAGGCTGAGAGAGTTTGTCTAGCAGCTGGACATGAAATCAGCCTTTATGTATGCAGGAATTCTGTGTAATTTTGTCATGAGATATGGATGTTCTGAGAGACCTAGCATGTCAGAAGAGGCCTGAATTTGAGAGAAGATTCCATGAATAAGAGAGGATGGTGGAAATCATGACCCTCATCATTAAGTGTGAGCATGAGATCCAAGTGAGCCAGCCACACCTCACCAAACATGGGAAGGGACAATCATGACCTAGTGGAACAAGGACATCAATAATCCAGGGAACAGGCTCCTTCCTGCACTGCTGTGAATATGCCTAAATTTCAAGAATTCCCAGGTGAAGGAGGAGTGTTTGAGTGTGACTTATAGAAAGTTGGACTTTGAAATTGACTTTATGTTTATTCCAAACTAGAATAAATGGAGTTTCATTTGTTTGGCAAGTTTAAGTCACTTAGGTAGAAGTTAATAAGGTGTGCATATTTAAAATTCACAGAGATCAATTTCTTAAAGTGCCATTAGTCTTTCGAGGGATTTTGGACTAAAAACACATGCAGTTTCTAAAATTGTCCATTTCTCTTTTGAGAAGAATATTTTTCGGGCTTTAAAAACTTTTATTTTAATTTTCAAAAGCTAACTTGCCTAACAAATAAGATTTTAATGCCACAGAAAATAAATTTATAACTATCCTCTTGCCTCCAGCAGGGAATCTTCTATTATGTTGATTGAGAAAATCTCTGAGTCACTTTGCTCTTGGAAATAAATATTTATTTTATTTCAGAGCATTTTCCTCTTCTTAATCAATCTCATTAATATCAAATTTCAAAAAATGCTTTTATATCCTTGACCGAAAATGATATATGAAGAAAACACAACACTGAAAAAGATCATTTAACCATCATTGTCATGATCCTCTATTTTTGAGTTATTTCAAAGCAAAGCGTAGAAAATAACTTATGCTTCTCCTTGAGTAAATCAACAGAAAACAATGTCCAAAATATTAGGGAACCGCCATCTGTATAATGGAATATCATTGACTATTAAAATGTTCATGTTATCCCTAAGTAAAAATGTGGTTTTAATATAGCATGCATTTATGACTTCAGTTCAGAAATGTATTTATGTATCTCTAAAATCTGACCATAAAGCTATATATGAAAATGTTAAAAAAAAAACAAAAAAAACTAGAGGCTGGAGTTGGCTGGGCTTGCCTTTTCCTTTAAATATAAGAGGTAAGGTAAGGGATTTATCACTTTAAACCAACCAGGGCTGGTTTGCAGTGTTATTAAAACTCGTCCCTTGCTCATCACTGTTCATCATGTATCTCCCTCCTGCACTTTTGCTTGAGAGCCTGTTGGGTCTGTCTCCTCAGACCTGAAAGACAGCTTGAGAGTTGGTTCTCCCTTTTATAGATTTTCAGATGAGCTCTTTAGCCTCCTTCCTTATGATTGTGGCAGCCCCCTTCTTTTATTATTGGGGCTGTTTCCAAAGGTGAGACAGCCTTTCTGGTCTAGTCCTCTCAACTCCCATACCATTACAAACTCAGCAAACGTCCTGTGGACAAAACTAGTCACATACTTGGAGCTCTTCTAGTTTCTAAGTCAGCCCTCTATAACTTCCAAAGTTCTTCTGGATCTCTTTCCCCTTGTAAAGTCTATCAGTCTGGGCCAAGCCCTACCCTCAGCTTACACTGAAGAGTCAGCAAATGCCACAGATAATAGACAGCAATTGTTAGCCAACCTAGAAAAAGCACTTTACTTTCTGGAACTTTAATTCATCTAGACCTCATTGTTTCCACAGCTCTGCAATATCTTTAAAATATTTTTTTTCAGCTTATACTTTCTACCCCCCTAATTGTTGCAGCATGATTGCTAGCTGACAAGACCAACTACAATATACATGGAAATGGAAATCTGCTCATTATTTTATTAAACATTTAAATCTAAGATGAAAAATGAGAAGATATTAAATAACAACATAGGATGTTCCAGCCTCAATTCCAAGTTTTCACCTCTCTTCTATTGGGTGAGGTGTGGAGGGACAAAGAACACTGTAGAAGAACACACAGATTGGCTTCACAAAGGAATGTGAACCATGGAATGTTGAACTAGAGTAAGTGACGAATGCTTGCTATACTGCTTGTTCTCTATAAGTTTTCAGTAAACAAACTCCTTATGATTTTGTTCATTTATCTGTAAAATATCAGGCATGTGTGGCTAGAAGAGGTGAGACTGCCATTATCTTTCCTCTTAATAGTGTTGCCATGAGAATCAGAAGAATTTACCAATGTAATGTTTTAATAAAATGCAAAGGCTTTACTTACATAAAGAATCAATATTAAAACAATGCATCTTAAGAACTGGTGACAAGGACTAGGGAAAAATGAGCAAAAGAGAAAATGAATATCCAATAGCAATCACCAGGATCAGAATAAAATGTGCTTTGTCTTTGGTTTCTGGAGGTTTGTGTTTGCATCAGAATTTGTTCTTATTATCCATGGGACCTTGAGTTACTCACCATAGTGCTTTCTCATCTGTAAAATCTGGTAGTTTATAACTCAGGTCACAGGATTTGGTGAGGATAAAGTAAAAAAGCAAGTATGAAGATGTTTTAATTCTCATTAGAAAATCACTATACAAGTTAAAATCACAAGATATCAGCTCACAAAGGTGTACAATATATTCTTTTAACAATGAGATCAGACAGCCACGTGGACAATAGAGAATATGTGTAGCTACATCAAAGTGGCATGATCTCTGCAGAAAAGAAAGTAGAGCCTATTTATTGAAAATAGGGCTGGATAGAAAAATGTGTGCAGAGAAATAAAAATCAGAAAATTATGCAAAAGACATTTTAAATAATCATTATTGGTAGTTTCTGGAAATTTGAGACTATGATCAGAGGAATTTAAAAATCATTAATTCCAATGTCCACTTATAACCACTACTAATAGTAGGGTGTGTTTTCTTCATAGCTTTTATTCTGTGTATGTATTAATATCTCTCTACATGAAATCAACAATAAAGTACACATAAATGTAACATATATGTATATAATTTTTTACTAATCAAAAATTTGCCTATAGTCACAAGCCAGAGACCCTGAAATCATAATAGTGCATATCCTTCTTATATATGTTATTTTATAACACAGATCATATAGTATGATAATCTTTAGTTTACCATGAACATTTTCCAAAATTCTTAAAATATGATTACATTATTGGCAGCATATTATTCCAACCTATGACTACGTCAAGCTATTCAATCACCTATCACTGGATATTCAAGTTGCTTATAATTTTTATTTCAATTAATACTGCTCTTATAATATCTTCCTTGGAAATACTGAACCTATTGCCCCACCATAATTACTTCTTAAGAGACAATATAGTAATAAATTGTGACCACTGTTCTAAGAAAGGTATCCCAGAAGAGTTTAGCTTTTCTCCAAATGTTTGTACTTTTGCACTGATAACAGGTAAAATGCATATGCAAAGTCTCCTGTATGGGTTCCTTTTGTTTGGGGATCTTGCTGGCTCATCCTCTCTCAAACTAATCTATTTAGGGATTATCTATTTACAGATTAATCTGGGAGACTGGCCTAGCAAGGATTAACATTTTTCCTGTGTCATCCTGCTTACAAATATATTTATACTTTCAAAAGCTTTATATCTATTCTGCAGAGAATATGTATATAATTTATAATTGAATGTTTGATTATAACCTCTGTGATCTTTTGTATGATGTCATATCTGTAACATAATTTAGCTCATAATATAGTATCTAGGAAAATTGGGTTCTCCAACTTATCAAATTGATAGCATCTCCTGAACTAAGTGCTCTGATATAAAATGCTACTTCTTTCTAAAGGCTTTCCAATATTTGCTGTATTCATGGTTTTGACCCTTCATAAATTCTTTAATGTACAAGGTATTAAAACTCATGGGCACTGGGCATGGTGGCTTGCACCTGTAATCCCAGCATTCTGGGAGGCCAAGGTGGGAGGATCACTTGGGGCCATAAGTTTGAGACCAGCCTGGGCAACATAGCAACACCCTGTCTCTACAAAAAATTAAAAAATTAGCCAGGCATGATGGTGTGTGTCTGGTCCCAGCTATTCATACTTGGCAGGCTGACGAGGGAAGGTTGCTCGAGCCCAGGAGTTCGAGGCTACAGTGAGCTATGATCACACCACTGTACTCCAGCCTGGGTGAAAGAGTGAAACTTTGTCTCAAAAATATATATAAAAATAAAAAACTCATGGGTAAAGAATTTATCACATTTATTGCATGCTTTGAATATTGTAACTTTGTGTTTTAAATCTAATGAAGGCTAAATGATATCTGAAGCCTTTCTGATGTATCTTAGATTACATGATTACTCTCAATGAATTCCTTTGCTGCATCATATAACAATGCACACAATGTCCTTTATCCATTGTTCCAAGATCACCAGTGGCTGCCTAAAACTGTAGATAGTACTGAATCTGATTGTTGTCAGTTGGAACTCATGTCTATCCATGTCTTCCATCCACAAATTTAACGCCTTTTCCACTTTAAGTAATTTTCATGTGCTGTAGCCATAACTTTTGCAATTTGAGGTGTGACAGCACAAAATTTCTTTTTTGTTCTTTACAATTTCATGGATATAAGACTCATTCTTACCATAGATCTTAGAATCCTCAGCATACAACTTTTCTTTTAAGTCAAAGAACTTTCACATTTTCACTTTAAGTAGTACTTTATGGCTTCTCTTTGGAATATCCAAATAGCCAGCATCACTACTGTTATGCTTTGGGGCCATTATAAGTAAGATAAGGGTGATTTGAATATAAGCACTGTAATTCCTTGACAGTTGGTCTGACAACTGAGATGACTACTAAGTGACTAACAGGCAGGCAAGGCATACAACATGGATATGCTAGACAAAGAGATGATCCACATCCCAGGCAGAATAGAGCATGGTGATGTGACATTTCATAACAATACTCAGAATGGTATGTAATTTAAACCTTAGGAATTATTTCTGTGATTTTCAATTTAATATTTTTGGATTATGGGTAACTTGAAACCATGGAAAGGGAAACTCCAGGTAAGGGAGCACTACTGTATAAATAATGGATATACACATCCAACTTGAAGGTTTATCGTAGGCTTTAGGTTTCACCTCCTAAACTTCTCTGATGTTTAATGAGAGATGTCTTCCCACTGTGAAGGCTTTTCCAGTCTCTGCATTCATAGGCTTTCTCTACTGTATGAGTTCTGTAGTGTACAATAAGACTTGATTTCACACTGCAAGATTTTCCACATTCATTGCATTCATAAGGTTTCTCCCCTGTATGACTCTTCTGATGTTTTATGAGAGTTAACTTCCTGATGAAGGCTTTCTCACAGTCACAGCATTTATAGGGTCTCTCTCCTGTATGAATTCTCTGATGCTTAATGAGCAGTGCCTTCTGGATAAAGGTTTTCCCACATTCACTGCACTCATAGGGCTTCTCCCCCGTATGAGTTCTCTGGTGAGCTATGAGGGTTGACTTCTGGCTGAAGGCTTTTGCACATTCACAGCATTCATAAGGCTTCTCTCCAGTGTGAATTCTCTGATGTACAATAAGGTTTGCTCTCTGGATAAACACTTTTCCACATTCAGCACATTCATTGAGTTTCTCCCCACTCTGAATTCTCTGACTTTTATCAAGGGCTCGATTATGGTGGAGGGCTTTTCTTTGTTGATTAGGGTCAAAAATTTTCTCTGCAGGCTGAGCTTTATCAAGATTAGAATGGAAGCATAATTTCCAATATGCCTTACATCCATCCTCTTTCTTTTTTACATAGCTTCTATTTTGACTAAGAATGTTTAAATTTATGTTTTAAACACCTTCCCCATGAGTAATATTTAGGGAGTCTTTGTCTTATAGAAACAAAGTCTGTGCTCAGATAAATGATTTTTCTACATGTTCTACATTCTTGACCACTTTCATCTTTCAGTGTTTCCTTGTCTATGAATGCAGCTTGCCACAGAGGTTTGTCTTGGCTTTCCTTGTAGTAATCTATCTGCTCATCAACTTGCCAGACTTCTAGAAAAAAAAATACAACAAATCATCAAACTTATTATTAAGTTTTTCTACTGTAATGTTATGGGATAACATTAAACTCCAAATGCCCTAGGATAAGCTCTTATCAACATGACTTGAGTTGATGTAGATGAACCCTCCCCATACCCCAAGCTGAAAAACAAGAAAATAGATTTATTAGGTATCAACAATGAAAAGGGAATTTAAAGTGAGGAGGGGAACAAAAAGCAAAAAACAAAAACATTTATTCAAGAAAACTAGTAAATCTTACTAAGAACAGCCAGGTCTGTGGTGGTTCACTCAGCATTATTCTTGCCCCCATCCACCCACCACCTCCCCAACTCCATGAAAACTGGCAGCTTCATAGCTACCCAAAGGGGCTGGCCTGTTTTGAAGCCTTATCTATCCCCAGAATGTTGTTGCTATTTGACCTAACTTGGAGTTCAGATCCAAGGAAAAAAAAAGGACATTTTATAACTCAAATCCACATGAGGAAATAAAGAACATCAATAAAGGTAACATGTAAGAAAGTGTTATAACAGCAGACCTGATCTTTAGAAGGGCCTGTTCACAGAATAACCTCCTGGCTAAAGTCTGGGAACTTGGCTTGTGGAATATTCCCTATGTTGATACGACTATTTTGCCTGCCTAGAGCACTGAACACCTGTTTTTCTTCTAGGGCTCTGGATACCTGAACACTAGAGGGTGATGATTTTTCTGGCACAATGTGCCTATTTTTAGTGGGTTGACTTGAAATCTCCCATAGACAAAGTAAAATGGCTTTAAAAAAGGCTTGCCTTCCCCACTTGGACTTGAAATGCAGCTGTCTAAACCTGCACTATCTTGGCTTTGCATGAGAAAGGAACAAACATCCCTGTAGGGATTTCTCTCCTACCAGGTGCCCAGCAATACTGGTGACAGTGATCCCATATCTGGGCATACAGGGAAATGTCAGAACACGTAAGATAAGGAGGTGGGGAATCTTATAAGCTGACATGGAGAAAACAATTGATACCAAGTACCAAGAATCAGAATAGCCTTAGAGTTCTCAAAAGAAACACTGAGAATTAGAAGGCAATGGAGCAATGATTTAAAAACTCTAAGGGAGAGAAATTTCCATCCTAGAACTCTACCCCAAGCCAAATTCTCCATCTATGATGAGTTGAACACTTTTAGACATCTAAAATCTCAAAAAATGTATCTCCCATGGACCTACATGCCTTCTTAGGAAAATATTTGAAGAATATGCTCCAAGGAAATAAAGGAGGTGACATGGCATAAAGAAAACACAGAACCCATCGATGCAGAAAGCAAAGGGAATCCCCATAATGATAGTGAAGTGTGATGGCAGGATGGCAGCTGTGCAAGAAGGAATGAGGTTAACCCACTTGGATGGGAGATGGTTAGATGGTTCCAGCCAAGCTCAGGGATATGACATGGATGGAACCCTTGATAGCTCTGGAAACACTCAGAGTCACTCTAGAGTCTAGATAACTGGTGATAAGCACATGGAGAAAGAAGTAAAGAAACAAAACAATTATTAAGCAAATGAAACACAAAGTTTTCAGGAAAGATAATTTAACTGTAGATTAGTATGTGGCTTAGCTGTGTATAGCATTTATGCAGTTGGCCCTCTGTATCTACCAGGTTCCCATCTGCAGATTTAACCAACCATGGATGGAAACCTGTAGATACAGAGGGCCAACTATACTATGCCACTTTATAGTAGGAACTTGAGCACCCTGAGATTTTGGTATCCACGGGGGTCCTGGAACCAATCCCCTGCAGATGCAGAGGGCCAACTATATTGCAAACAATATTGTATTGTCATATTGTAAACAATAGCACTGATGGAAACCAAATTTATGGTATAATCATATTGGGACTACAAGGGAACAAGAAGTCTGTGTGCATATATGTGCCTTTCAGTGGGTGGCAGAAACAGTGAGATGAGCTCAATCTTAATCTTCCATAGCAAAACACCATAAATAACTTTTGTAAAATGTATGCAAGTTACAAAGAACAGTAATACCAAAAATACCTGTGTATCCACCACCCATTAAAAACAAATTATAGTTATCTATGAAGTTCTCCATGTGTCCATTTCATTTTCATTAAGATAATCACTATGCTGAATTTTATGTTTATCATGCCCTTCACTTTCTTCATAGTTTTACCACATTTATTTTTTGTTTTAGACTTCAGGTATGACCTACTTAAATAAAAATGGGACTCTGTTTTAATCAAAAGAGAATATTACCTTAGGTTGGTAAATCTGAAATCTCAGATGAAACAACTGTCTTAAAAAATAACCAGAACTAGCCGGGCGCGGTGGCTCACGCCTGTAATCCTAGCACTCTGGGAGGCTGAGGCGGGCGGATTGCTCGAGGTCAGGAGTTCGAAACCAGCCTGAGCAAGAGCGAGACCCCGTCTCTACTATAAATAGAAAGAAACTAATTGGCCAACTAATATATATATAAAACTAGCCGGGCATGGTGGCGCATGCCTGTAGTCCCAGCTACTCGGGAGGCTGAGGCAGCAGGATTGCTTGAGCCCAGGAGTTTGAGGTTGCTGTGAACTAGGCTGACGCCACAGCACTCACTCTAGCCTGGACAACAAAGCAAGACTCTGTCTCAAAAAATAAATAAATAAATAAAACAAATAAACAGGATATTCTAAAATGTCTACTATATTTATAAAATTTAGAAGTGATGTTATATTTGTTTAAAATAACAAGTCTTATTTAAATACTTATTTGTTTTTCTTGGTAAAATTTATGAGTTTAAAAGAAAAAACAGTAATTAAAACTGTATTTTTATCCCTGTTCTATGTTATATATCTAATTCACAGGGTATAAAAATGGTTAATAGATAAGTAACTTAAACTAATAGCTGCAATCTAAGTGAAGTGCTAAGATAAATAAGATAAATTAGGTAAATATAAATGAAATAAATACAACTGAAATTTTCATATAATTTAAAATCTTAAAGTTAATGTTAAGTTAAAAAAAGATAATTATAAAATGTCTCTGTTATTTATAAGGTGAAATAGTAGAACATTAGTGAAAGAGTGAATGACCCAAAGGATACATTTCACGCATAGGCTATGTGGGAACAACATGGCTGGTTTATTCACCTGGGTGTGAGTGGGCTGAGTCCCAAAAGAGAGTGAGCCCAGAAGGGGGTTTAGTGGGGGTTTTTATAAACGGGGATAGCTGACCCCCTCCCACCTGCCCTGTTCAGTTCTTTGTTTCTGGGCCAAACTGGCAGTTGAAGAATTGCTTCCTGCTATATGCAGTTCGCATATGGCAGAGGACCATGGGCAGAACAGCTGTTTGTAGTAAATTCTTCTCCAAACAACCAACTCCTACTACCCCTTTGCCCCAGTAGCATCCATCCTTTTGCTCTGGTGTCATCCTTATCAGCAGAGCTAGGGAGGGATAGCCTTCATCTCCATCAGGGAGGGAGAGGGAAGGAATGCTCCAGCTGTCAGTTAGATCTACAAAGCCCAGGGACTCTCCAGACTCTTGTGGCTACTGTTTTACAAGGTTAAGTTTTGTATTAACCACATTCCACATTCTGTCCTATACATACTTTTCAAGTTACCAGCTGGAATAAACCTAACAATTAGTTCCTTTTTTTAAATTTTTTATTGAGACACAGTATCTCACTGTGTTGCCCTGGCTAGAGTGCCGTGGCATCAGCTTAGCTCACAGCAACCTCAAACTCCTGGGCTCAAGTGATCCTTCTGCCTCAGCCTCCCAAGTAGCTGGGAGTACAGGCATGTGCCACCATGCCTGGCTAATTTTTCTATATATTTTTTATAATTTTATATATTTTTATATATTTATATAATGTTATATATTTATAAATATTTATATATTATATAAGTTATCATAAATTATTTATATAATTTTATATTTTATAATCCTATTTTAATTTTATATATTTTTAAAATTTTATAATTTTATGATTTGTCCAATTAATTTATTTCTATTTTTAGTAGAGACAGCGTCTCACTCTTGCTCAGGCTGGTTTTGAACTCTTAACCTTGAGTGATTTACCTGCCTTGGCCTTCCAGAGTGCTAGGATTACAGGCATTAGTCACCACACCCCGCCTAGTTCTTAAACATAACTTTAAGCTTATACCTTGATATCTTATTTTTATATTTAGGAATGCTAATAAAATTGGTGACTAGCAGTTCAAAGTTACCTTAACTTCCTAGGTTTTTCAAAAAGTTGACATTATGATTAGTGTATGTAATTGAAACTTCTAGATTTCAAAGGGAAACAATTCTATATAAAATTTTTTAATACAAATGTTATAAGACATAAGTATTAGTTTTGTTAAAAGATAATTTTGTCTAATTTATTGGTTTTTGAAACTACTTTAAAATTCAA